AGAAGATGTAACTACAGCAGAACCTGACAATACAAACATTTGTAACGCATGCAAGCTATCATGTTTCACGCCTTTCAGAATCTTAGTTGGACCTTTGCAAACATAAGCAACTCCACCTTTTCTCTTGAAACTAAAATCCTTACTGTCGAGTAGACTTAAAGAAATCAGATTCTTGTTCATCTGTGAAACATGTCTAATTTGGTTCACAAGACAGAACAAACCATCACGTGTTTGTATCTTGATGGACCATATTCCAACCACCTTGCAGACAACTCCATTGGCCATAACTACGTTACCACCATCTATATGCTCATAGGTTCAAAACAATTCCTATTCGGAGACATATGTAACGAGTCTGTAGTATCCAGAAACACACATCTCTGCGATGTGCCTTCATATCTATAGCCAAGATGAGATCATCCTCGAAACTGATGTCTACTTCTACTGCAGTCGCAGAACCTTGCTTGTTCTGTTACCCTTTTCTCTTGGAACAATTGGCTTTCCAATGCCCAAGTTCCTTATAGATATGTTATGCATCGCCAGACTGTTGACCAGGACCCGTCAAATTGGAGCTTCTACTCAATTTCTTTGGTGCCTTACCACCTGTAACAGTCAACCGTGATACTTAAATCTTTGTACCAGATCCAGACGTCTTATGTCTAATCTCTCTTGTATGAATAGTATATCTAACATCCTCAAAAGTCATATTCTTTTTCCCGATAATAAAAGAATCCACAAAATTCTCATATGACTGCGTCAAAGAAACTAACAGGATAAGGGGAGCATCTTCATCATCTACTTTGACATCTATGTTACACAAACCTAACAAGATGACATTTAGTTGTTCTAGGTGCTCCCTCAAAGGCATACCTTCCTGCATTCTCAAGCTGAACAAACGGTGCTTGAGATGTCGCTTGTTAGTTACAGACTTCATCGTATACAGACTTTCCAGCTTCAACCACAAGCACACAATAGTCTTCTAAGCAGCAACTTCAATCATGACGTCATCAGATAGTTATAACATATGGTGGTCGAGCGAGCCTTCACCTTCAAGGTGTTCCACTCCTCATCATCGAGCCATATCTTCTTCGGTTTCCCGAATAGCGGCCCCCACTTCCCTTGCTGTTTCAATAGCATCTGCATCTTGATTTGACATATACCAAAGCTATTCTTCCCACTTCTTTAAATGAGCTAACTCTAATCCAATCTGGTAAACAATAAGATCACAAACCAGGTCGGGTCTGGAAGCCCAAACGTGTAGAAGTTTATACACCATGGATAGGGTGGACCTTGCTCCCCCAAGCCCCCTAACCGGGCGCTTCGCCCCTAGACCCCGACTTGCTGACTAGACATTGAAACTCCTGTGAATCAAGTCGGCGACAGATCATCCATTTTGGAACTTTTTTCAATTATTTATTACAAAGAAGAGAGAATAAAAATGGAAATGAAGTATATTCATAAAATTTTATAAAATAAGAAGGATCTTATTTGAGCGCCATTTAATGGCTTGCTAAGATGATATGAGCAATTTGCAAGGCAGGAGGTAAGAAAAAAGAGAGAATTTAGGCCGGTCGGAAGCCGGCACAGCACAGTTGACAGTACTACTAATAGAGGAGAGAATAAATGTGCGGTTTTGGGACCAAAAATTTCATACACAGATTAATTAAATTAACAACACTTGAGTACCCCAAATCTGATTTTGTTTGATTTAGACTATTAATCACTAACCACCAACCAAACCAAGCATAGCCACTCCCACACTCTCTCTCTCTCATTGCCCCACACCCACAGCACAGCTGCACTGACCTCACTTGCTCGCTACTTGCTCCTTTGCTTTCCCTTCCCTACGCCTTTTTTTCTTTTGTCTCCATCTCCTTCGCTTTCTCGCTTCCCCTTTCACTCTACCAGTCCTCTACCCTCTGAAAATCTCGCTACCTTTCCTTTTCCTCTTTCTCTGCCTTTACTGGGTTACAGGCAAAAAAAAAAAAAAAGAGCCGCCCTTAAGCACACTCTTTCTGGGCAGCTCTTTCTGCTACTAAAGGTTCATTTTTCAAGCTCAAAACCCGTATTTGCACTAGGGTTTCCACTCCAATGCCCGCATCTTGAATCTCCTCCCATCTGCTTCGTGTTTCGTGCTGCTCTCGGACTTTTGAAGTAATAATGGGTGCAAACGGGAAGAATGTGTTTGTCTTTGGCGTCATATTCATGCTGCTTTTTGCTGCTGCTGGCGTCTCTTCAGCTCCTATTATCAACTCTCCTGCAAGTAAGTGTGGTTTTCTTTCTTTGGTGAAGCTCCCTTGGATTGGATTGATCTGCTCATTTCTGTTTCGGAGCTCTCCCATGTTTGTTGCCATTCCGACCGGGGAGGTATTTACATTCTCTATCTCTGCAGGGATCGTTAATGGGGTTTTCTCGAATACTTTGTCCGCTATCATGAAATGGATTTGGTCACTCAAAGCCTCCACGAAGACAGGTTGGTTCAGATCTCTTATTGTATAGGCCACGTTTCTGCTGTTACTGTGTATTTTTTTCAGCTGCCGGTCTAGTTTCTGTGTTTTTGTTTCGGATCCATCACTCAAAATTAGTGGATTGGTTTTCTGTGCAGCAATGTCTGCTCGTCCATTGATGAAGTTCGAGCCTGGTTACACTGTGGAGACCATGTTCGATGGAAGCAAAGCTGGGATCGATCCTCACTCTGTTGAAGTTCTGCCCAGCGGGGAGCTGTTGATTGTGGACTCAACCAACAGTAACCTTTACAAGATACCTTCTTCTATGTCTCTATGTAAGTTGGTTTTTTCATCCCCTTAGTGATTTGAGTTGGGGATGATAGCGATGGTTTCAATTAAGTAGCCTTTCTTAGTGTCTCAACTTTCTCTTGTGACGTCTGGGCCACTACCAACTCTCTGTTTGTCAAAGAACTTGGTTCTTTGAGGGATAACTTGGTCTCATCACAAACAACTTGATTTCTTGCTCAGTTTTAATTTGGAAAAAGTTAATGATAGAATTGGCTTGATTGGTTAAAACTGGTGGGAAAATTGCAGACACCAAGCCTAAGCTAGTTGCTGGATCTGCTGAAGGATACTCTGGATATGTTGATGGGAAGCCAGGTGAGGCAAAGATGAATCACCCAAAGGGAGTTGCTGTAGATGACAGAGGAAATATATATGTAGCGGACACCATGAATAATGCCATCAGGAAGATAAGTGATTCAGGTAAGTTTTTGTTTTTGCAGGAGAATGTAGTGAACCTTAGCCTTATTTGGTGAACCGGATAACGGATGATTTGCTAATCCTATGTGTCTGCTGACTTCACAAATTACTAGGGGTTACAACTATTGCTGGAGGGAAACGAATCAATGGAGGTAGCCATGTAGATGGAGCAAGTGAAGATGCCAAATTCTCAAATGATTTTGATGTAGTCTATATGGGAAGCAGTTGTTCCCTCCTTGTGATAGACAGAGGAAACAGAGCTATTAGAGAGATCCAGCTCCACTTTGATGACTGTGCATATCAATATGGAAGTGGCTTTCCATTTGGTAAAATATAGTCCATTACTTGCCATTCCTTCTATATTGTCAACACAGGCTGTTCTAATCTTATTCTTTCCAGCAGAGATCGTGCTTCTTCTAGCAGCTGGCCTTTTTGGTTACATGGTCGCCTTCCTCCAGCGTAGGATGGGAACAATTGTTTCTTCACAGGGCGTAAGTGTTTTAAAACTGATTTTTTTTCCCCCACACGGCAATGAGGAGACAGACTGTACCATGAAAGGCTTTCTTGTTGCTTTATACATGTATCAATCTTTGTGCAGGATCAAGGTGTGATGAAGTCTAGCATGGCTGAAACTCCAGCGGCTCCCCAACCACTTAAGTCTGTTAGGCCACCATTGATCCCAACTGAAGATGACCAAGAGAAGCAAGAGGAAACCTTATTTGCATCCCTTGGAAAGCTTTTTGCCAACGCGGGTGCATCTTTCATGGAGATTGTGGGAGGAATAGCTCCTGGATTTATGAAGAAGTCAGTTACCTATCATCAATACCAGAACCAGCAGCAGCAACAAAGACATTCAGCTGGTTGGCCAAGTCAGGACAGCTTCGTAATACCAGATGAAGATGAGCCTCCCACTGTTGAAGCGAGGACCCCTACGCCAAGGAGGAAAACATATGCTTTCATGTCTAAAGATGCAGAAAAGATGAACAGGTGGCGGCAGGGTCGCTCTTTCTATGGTAGTCAAGATGGCGAGATGCCACAGCAACAACATCAGCAGCAGCAGCAGCAACAACAACCGCATCCACAACAGCATCAACACCAGCAGCATACGTATCAGCATCCACATCAGCAGCATTCTTCACAGCCACAGCCGCAACCGCAGCCGCAGAAACAGCCAAAGCAGCATCGCCATCATCGGTATCAATCCACCACCCCTGGTGCTCCATATACCTACTATGAACAGAGCCATGAGAAAACCAATGAGATTGTGTTTGGAGCAGTTCAAGAGCGTGATGTGAAGCATGAAGCTTCAGTGATTAAGCCTGTTGATTATGCGGATCCCATGTACAACCACCACAGCATTCGAGTCCGTTCTACTTCTACCTATGGCAATAATGCCTATTGAAGCTTAGATGAAGATTGGCAATTTTGGCTAGCAAGTAACATCTGTCCCTCGTCCATCTGCTGAAGAATGGCAATTTTGGCTAGCTAGTAACATCTGTCCCTCGTCCTTGTGGTTAAGAATGACAATTTTCGCTAGCTTATGGGAAATTTTAGATTAAACTTGGGAATGAGGTCTATTTTCAGATGTTAGAAGTGTTAGGGAAGAAGCTGGTGTAGTGCTTTCAAGGTTTTGCTCGTCCTGGTTGAAGCTATGTACTTATATAGGCGGGTTGCCTAAAGTGACAGTTATTATGATTATGTAAAAGCCATGTTGAAAATTTGTGAAATGCAATTTTGATTTTGGTATTTGCCCGCATAGAATTTAGCTTGTAGCTTATAATTAGCGGAGAATGAGAAATAATACTAGGATAAACATTTTATTACCATTCCACTCAAAGGAGAAACAACAAGCTTTTTACTTACACAGACACCAGCAAGAGCAAAGTGATGGAACATTCACTAACTGCTTCATCTCCTCTTAATTAAACCCAAATTTCCTACCACAGACCCTTCCAGCAGAGCTGGTTCCTTCATTGAGAAAGCAAACCCTCTGATGTTAGCTTCAATCATACTATCTATCCCCCCTGCTACAGATATTGTCTTTGTGTCATCCGCTTCTCCGAACTTGAAGGTATCTTCGTCTGTGGTTGATAATAGCCGACTATTATCAGAAGGCATCAGCTCCTTCAACTCACTAGCAAAAACATCCGACTTTGCTGAACTGCTGCTGTTACTCATATCAGAATCAATTAGGGAGACAAAATCCTTGCTGGGAGTGGGAGGTGAACCTACAGGGTTGTTAATCCTAAACATTAGTGAAACATGAGACAGGCTCAACAGTAGCAGCCTCCTCAAGAGAGCATATAGCTTCACACTAGCAGCTCCGTTTCTGATGTCGGAGCAGAGAGTCCAAGCTTCTTTCACCAGATTGATTATCCAAAGCTTCCATGTCTTGCTGAACCAGAAGGGGTTGTTGCTGGGACGTCCCTGTCTAAATACATTGTGGGTAAGATAAATAGGTCCCGAAGAAAGTAAATATTTGTCACTCAAAACTCGCAAGGTACCCAGTCTAGCGGAGGAGACTTACCCTTAGACGTGGGAGGACATAAGGGCGAATCGCAAAACCAACAGCGATGCCAAATACACATGATAGAGCCAGTCCTAGAATCCACCATGGGGCAGCGCCTAACCCTGTTAAGGTTGAATATTTGAACATATCACTTTGATAGACAGTCAACAAGTTCCCTAGAAGTCGACCCAACAAAACTGACCCTGTGAGGCTGGAGAAGCTGTGGTGCAATCTTCAGACTTCAAAGTAATCTGGCGAACCAGTTGGTTTCCATGATCAGCCACCAGCAGCGCACATTGCTGAGCCACGAAAACCAGCTCGAAATCATTTGAGAAAGTTGCATTCTGCGCGGGGCCATCCTTGTTACCTATTTTATTGGAGTACCCTCCAGCGATTGTAGTGACGCCTACAAATAGTCAAATAGTAACATTTGTGAACTGAAATTAAACCCATAAACTAAAGATCAGACCTCTCCTGAACTGAAATCTCCAGACTTCGAAATACAAGAACAAATGCTTTATTTTCTAACTCACCAGAGCTACTTATCTTCCTGATGGCATGGTTGGCCTTATCAGCAACATAAACATTGCCTTTGAGATCAACGGCGAAGTTCTTAGGTTTATTAAACTGAGCCGAACCCAACTCCCCATCCGAGAACCCTAACTTCCCATCTCCGGCGAGCGGCCTCAGCACAACCTCTGGGACAATTTTCGCAAACACAAAGACCCTCAATCACACAAGGTTAAACTATTGATGGCGAACTCAAACAGAGGAGACTAAAAAGCGGCCTACTTAACTTACCCTTCGAAGAAGTTGGAAACGCGGCCGAGTAGAAGACGCCGGTGGCATAATTGAGGACGACAAGATCGGATGAGTGGGGAAGAGGCAGGACGTGATAAGGGTTTATGTTGAGATCGTGTCCATCGATCACGGTGGTTACGGTGTACCCATCTTCGAGTATGAGGCCGGCTTCAACTGACAAGAAGAGGGAAGCCGTCACCAGAGCAAGGAGAAAGTAGAAGAGCGAGGGAGCGGCAGCCATGTTTCTGTGTGGGGAAACAGAAGACTTCAGTCTTCAGCCGGGGAAGGGAAAACAGTCGAAACGAAGACTCGAGGGACTGGAACTGGGTTAATTATCATAAATTGTCACAAAACTATGCACTTTGTACAAAACGGTCACAAACCTTTAATTTTGCACGTTTCGATAACATATATTTGGACTAATAACGAATTGGACGGAGATGGACGGAATTACCTTTTTGTTATTAGTTCAAACATATGTTACCGAAACGTACAAAATTAAAGGTTTGTGACCGTTTTGTACAAAGTGAATAGTTTTGTGACCATTTATGATAATTACCCACTGGAACTGAGACTGGACACTGGAGGAGTGGGGTGGACGCGAGTTGCGTAGGTTGCGGCAATTTTGAGCTAACCCATTTTATCTAATCTGTTTTACCTGTTTGGGATGGATCCGATCCGTCTAATGAGTGAGATGAAGCAAAATGGGTATTATCAATGACATTATTTGCAATTAAAGACACTTGATATTGTTTGGGCCAATATTACGGTATCGTTATAAAAAGTGTTGCACTGCAGAATATGATTGGATATTGTTTGGGCCAATATTACGGTATCGTTATAAAAAGTGTTGCACCGCAGAATATGATTGGACAACGTGGAGCTGATGTGGCATTAGTTTAATTTGATTAAAGTTGTCCAAATTCGGTGGTCCATTAGAAGTGGTCGAACCCAACTTCAAACTAACGGTGCAGTCTGTCTGCCCAAGGCCGATTAATTTATTTTCTTTTCACATTAGTCAATTTTAAATTTATTTAACATTTTAACAAAAAAAAATGAACGGAAAACGTCTTCTATCTCCCGCTCGTCTTATTTTGGAAAAGCGAACTCCATAGTCACCATTCCAAACTCGAGCATTCAGGGACTTATACCATCAACGAAGCCAAAGTCATCGGATTTATCACCGCCAACAACGACCCGAGGCTGTAAGCCTCTTCCTTTTCCATTATAAACAACCGCGAACTCGCCACCCACCACCAGAGGTTGATCAGGAGAACTCCACGGATCCGGAACCATAAGACGGTGACTAGATTGTTAGTTTCAGGGGAATAATGAATGGGTTTTATTAGATAAGAAATCTTCGGAAGTGGATGGGAACGAGGAAGGTAAGGGATGGGAGTGATCAATTTCACCACCGTCGATCCGTGATTTGCTGATGGCGTGCTCGTTTTCTTTTCCATTTTCAATCGGAGAGCGGAGATCGGTAGAACTAGGTTGGGGAAGGAGACAATCTTGCGTTTGAACTTTGGAGACCTTTTCTTGTCCCTGATTGATTCTCTCGAAAAAGTTAAAACATGAATTTTAATTTAATTAATGAAAGAAATAGCAGAAAAAAACGTTGGACGAAGAAGGATTCTCTGTTGCTTTTGGACGATTTGGGCCACTTCTAATTAGGGGTGAACAAACACACTCGCAAACCGACCCACCCGTCCAACCCGATCCAACCCATCCGTATTTATCGCTAAAACGAAGGTTTTGGGTTGGGTGAGGGTTTTCTTTTGTGCAACCCGCCTCTTTTGGGTTGGGTGTGGATTTTGGATTACACAACCCGTAGAACCCGACCCAACCCGTGTTCCAACTATTAGTATGGGTTCGTATCTAAAAAATATTTATGTCGTATATAGCCATACTTATGTGAAAATTAAGATATTTCGCCATGTTTTTCTATCATGGTCTCCCTAATCTAATGCATTCTTCGACTTAAAGTTTAGACATAAATTGAATATAATTATGATTCACGTAATCATTTTTCTTGTGTACAATTTTAATAGAATAACATATTATGTATGCATTTGTTTATAACCTTTTTAGCCTATTTCAACAAATATCGTGAAAAAAACTAGACATATGTTGAAGTAAATCACATTTTATTAAAACTCAAACAACATTTGTGAATTTTGATTCCTTCACCTCGGTTTATTTGTTTGAAATTATAATTAGTTATAAAATATTTTTATGATGTATAATAATTATATATTTTATGTTGGGTTGGGTTTTTACTTAAAAATATCGCCAACCCGACCCAACCCAATTAGAAACAAACCGTAGGGTTTAATTTTTTTTGGGTGGGTTTAGGTTTGATAATTCCCAAACCGTAGTGCATGGGTCGGGTGATTAAAATACTTAAACCCAAACCAACCGACCCATGTACACCCCTACTTCTAATAGACCATCGAGGTTGGGTTGGGATTTAATGGCTCGGCCCGTGCCACGTCACAGTCCATGTGGACCAATTAAAAGCAACGTTACTGGTGTCACAATTTTTACAGCGACACGTAGTGTTGGTCTTTGTTTGGATATGGATTTTCGTTGAAAACCAAAAAAAATTAGGCAAAATACAGTTGTATATCCACAACTATCAGGTTTGTAACAAATATATCCACAACTATCGAAATACACGAAATATCCATTTCCGTCCACTCCGTCAGTTAACTTGATGACTGGACAGACGGTGGATGCTTAGTTGGCGTGTTTCTGACCCCACTAAATGACGTGGATTAAAAGAGAAAAAAGTAGGTAAAATACAATTGTATATCCACAACTATCAGGTTTGTGACAAATATATCCACAACTATCGATATACATGAAATATCCAAAAATCGGAAGGTTGTGTGACAAATCTATCCACTTTCGTCTGAACCTATAATGATATGTCAGACGGCGTTAAATTGACTAACGGAATACTGAATCGGTGCCATCTCACCTGCCACATAAGCCAAAAAGCAACCAAACTTTACACCGCTATCTGTTAGACCTCGCTGCTGCAGTCTTCTCTGTTGGCGATTTGGTTAGATTCAAGCTTTTTTTGTTTGAGATTCAAGCTTGGTATCACCATGGCGCCGACTGCATGGAAGCTGTCGGAGTAAAAGGGAGGCAATGGTTGGGAATTGTGGTTGGAATCTAAATCTGGGCTTGGGGTAGGGTTATTTGGGGGTGGAGGCGTTGATCGGAGGAGGATCAGTGGTTATCGGGTGTGTTTATGGGTTGGATTTTTAGTCTCGCCGTCTGTGGTCTTAGGGTTTTTACATTTTTTTCTCTTTTAATCCACGTTATTCAGTGGGGCCAGAAACACTCCAACTAAGCATTCACCGTCTGTCCAGTCATCAAGTTAACTGACGGAGTTAACAGAGTGGACGAAAATGGATATTTCGTGTATTTCGATAGTTGTGGATATATTTGTCACAAACCTGATAGTGGTGGATATATTTGTCACAAACCTGATAGTTGTGGATATACAGTTGTATTTTGCCTTTATTCAACTTGCCTATTTGGCATCTACGTGTAAAGTTTGGTTGCTTTTTGGCTTATGTGGCAGGTGAGATGGCATCGATTCAGCATTCCGTTAGTCAATTTAACGCCGTCTAACACGCTGTTATAGTTTCAGACGGAAGTGGATAGATTTGTCACACAACCTTCCGATTTTTGGATATTTCGTGTATTTCAATAGTTGTGGATATATTTCTCACAAACCTGATAGTTGTGGATATACAACTGTATTTTGCCAAAAAATTATTAATAATTTTTGCACTCAATGTTAAGTACCCAATACCATTAAAAACGTTAAAACAGTGTTGTATTCCATTGAAAACTAAAAATAAAAGATTAACACTGATTAGTTTCAACATTAAAAATGGCATAATACTATTAATACTGATATTGAAAATAGTTAATAAAACTGAGCAAGTCATTGATCACGAAATTGTATTCGTTGGAAACTAATACAAAATCAATAATTCAAAATGAATTAGGAAACGTAGAAATCGGAAATGAGAAAATCCAGTTAGTAATAACTAAAGCTGCAAATGAGTCAAGCCGCTCGCGAGCAACTCGGCGTTCGAATCGGAAAAAACTCGTTCGACACTCGACTCGTTATTTAACAAGCCGGCTCGCGAGCCAACTCGTTAGTTAACGAGCCAAGCCTGAGCTAGACCATGCTCAGCTTGATAAGCTCGCGAGCTAGCTTGATTCGGTGGCTTGTCGAGTTAAGTTCGCGAGCTGCCTTGTTTTGAGCTTGTGGAATGATGAATTACTCTTTTAAACATGAACATTGTCTTCTAATACAGATGTGTATGAAATTTAGATGTTATTTATAGTTTCTAGTGTTCTTTCTATCATTTAAATTCTTATGTTTATACATTTTTCCAGCAAAAATGATTTTAAATCGAGCCCATCTTGAGCCGAGCTTGTACTCAGCTTGACAAGCTATGTTAATGAGCATTTATCGAGCTCTACCGAGTCGAGCTCGAGCTAGATTATTTTTATTCAAGCCGAGCTCGAGCTCGAGCTAGATTATCAAAATTCGAGTTCGAGCCGAGCTCGAGCTGAAAAATTAATAAACGAGCCGAGCTCGAGCTAAGCAAAAACTCGACTCGACTCGTTTGCAGCCCCAGTAATAACTAATAACACATTTTTTTGCTAGAAAATTTACAACTCTACACAATATATAATAGCAGAAAGGGGAAAACTGTTGCTCCATTTCAAATTTCCTGCAACGAGAGTGAAAGTAGGAAGGACATTTTGGTCTTCACAATTAATTTTTTTTATTCATTAAAAAGAATGGTACTGGGATTCGAACCATGACCGTTTTAAAGAAAAACAAGGATCATAACCAATCACACTAAATACATTTGTTGTATCTTTTTAAATTAAAAACATATAATAACGGAGATGAAAAAACTCTTCCTCCATTTCAAATTCCTTGCTCTAGGAGCATTTGTAGGAAGGGTAGAATAGGGATTGTCAATTTTTTCTCTGTCCTCTGTGGAACGGGCTAACTTATCGTACACATGTGGATTTAAACGGGTCCGGGAGTGTCAATTTTTTTCTTTATGCCCTTTTATTTCTCTATGGTGGTAAAATATATATATGAAAAAGCAAAAAACAATACTTCTTTTATTGCTAAAAATAAAAAATTTAACAATAAACTAATGCATGGATTCTCATGGGCTAACCGCTAACCATAAAATAAAAAAGTTGAATGGGCCTGACCTACACGAGATTTGGTCATCAAGTAAAACAAATGGGCATCATGAGTTTGCCATTCTAAAATAAGTTATTTTCTCTAGCATAATATATATCATGCTCTTATTTTATAACTTAGTGGCTAAAATATAATGTATTTTAAAGTTATTCAATGGTTCAACCTCGATCAACCCAATTAGTCCAATTTTTATCATAATGATTAAATTATAGTGTATTTTATAGGGAATCGTGTGGTATGTGTTAGTAAAAAACTAAATAGAAAGATCTATTTGGTTATTTTTAACATTAAAACGATCCTAAACATTTTCAGTTTCCTTTCGAATTTCTATGGTTTTATTCCCGAATCAGTGATGTGCAAATGGGTAATTGTAGTCATCTCTTTTCTTTCACTATTTTTTTATTTTCAAATAGAAAGTTTAAAAGTAAAGAATAATTAGAGATTGGCATGGGTGGGTCAAACAGGCTGAATTTCAAGTTTTGGCCCGTTTTCATCAAGTCTAATTTATAATCACATGGTTTCCTGATACCCGATAAAAATCTCAATCCAAACCAGTTTGGCAGGTGAGTCCGAGTTTACCAACATTTTCTAGGGATACAGGAACGACGGTTCCTATCTCAAATCGTGTTGTTCGTTCTTGATTTCTTTAGATTTTATCATGGCCTGGCAAAAACCAAAAAGCACAATGACGACAAGATATAAAACAAATTAATCGGCAAACGGGACGAGTAAAAGCTAGCAACGATTGTGAGATGCTCATTTCCCGAAAACCGACGGGATAGGCAATTTTTTATTCGATTTTCTGGAATTCGGTTTCTATAAAACTTATTCCTCCTCATCATATTATCAGAAACAATATTGTTTCACAAGGTAACATGTACTTGATTTTGGTTCATAAGGCTGATTTTTGATACGTTGCATCATTCGTGTCTCTTTCCTGCTAAAATTCACTATTTTTATCACGTGTTTCCAAAAACAACTGTACAACAAATTTCATACTTATCAAATTTCATACTTCACCTTCCTCCGGCCAACTGGCCGGGGCCACACTAGTTGGGGTAATATGCAAAGTGGGAGCAGACCTAACAACCTCAATGTGTAATCAATTGAACATGAGAGAATATACCATCTATAGCGCTGGTCTATTTGGTGTAAGAAACAGAGTTGTTCATATGCCGCAATCCTGTGGCACCTAGGTAACGTCTCTTCCGATCTAAATTCTGGAGGTGCCACTATCAAATTAAGAATTTAGAGTGAAAAAGGTATTGTAATCATAGTTAGTAAAATACGGTACGGGAAAGTTACGGATATAATACATACGGGTATTTTACTTCATCTCTAAACTAATGTTACGTTTAATAGTACGTTAATAGTCATAAATATATAAAATAAATTATTTTTTAAAATAAATAAATATATAAATAATAGTAAAGTTAACAATTTAATTCATTAAATACGGATATAAAACGTGTTATACGGATTTTATACGTGTTTAGTACGGGAGCCACCAAATGAACGGACAAAAATGAAACGGCTTGACAAAAATACGGATACGGAAGTTTTAAACGAATAAAGTACGTACGGGTACATATACGTGGTAAATACGAAGCGACGCACTCAGTTTCTCATTACTTTATTATTTTTTTGAATTCCATATACAAATATGACGCAAGTCCATTACAGCAAACGACCGTCTTTGGTTTGAGACGGAACGACATCGCATCGATTAAGACTGGAAACGGCAGCGTAGCAAAGAGTCCCAGGATGAGGATTGAACGACGTCACAGAGAAAATAAGGGCCCATTTAGTATTGTTGCTTGTTTTTGTTTCCTGTTGTGTTTTAAGAAATTTGGAAAATCAAGAAAAAAAAAGTGTTTAGTTGGGTTTTTATTTTTTTGTTGTGAATCAGAGTTGCACAACAAGGCCCAAATATGAGAAACAACAATTTATAGCTTTGGATATGATTCTTAAACATGTTGCACACGGGATTCCTATTGGTTGGACGCTTGATTTCATTAAAACAGACCAATTTTCGAATCCCCCCAGAAGCAAAAAATTTCTTTTTTTTTAACACAGCCGCCCCCCCCCCCCCAAAAAAAAACCCTACTTCACCTTTTTCATCATCTTCTTCTCGACAGAACACAACCGCCCTATTCCATCTTCTTCTTCTTCTCGACAGAACACAGCCGACACCCATCTTCTTCTCCCAGCCTCCGCGCGGCGCGACCCCTCTGCCTCCGCCCAGCGGCGCTCCGCCTCCGGCCGCCGCAGCCCACGCCGCCTCGCCTCAGCCCGCGCCGCCTCGCCTCCGCCCGCCGCAGCCCGCGCCGTCTCGCCTCCGCCCAGCGCCGCTTTGCGGACATATATCTTTTTCTGGTTTTTAGTTCTTATAGTAGTAACTAAATGCGTTTTTGTTTCTTGTTGTCAGCTTTCATGATTTTTCAGATTTATCAACTAAACATGTTTGTGTTTTCTGTTTTTTTCTGTTGTGGTTGTACATCTGTTTACACAACACCACTGCAACCACAACAGCAACAAAATGATACTAAACGGGTAACCGTTGAAAATTGATTTTTCAATCTGTTAGTGTAGAATATTGCAAAGATGAGAAACCTCTTGAAAAATCATCATGACGTGTCCAAAAGCAAAATCTGCCAGCATGGATCAATCAATATTTTGATATTACCATTTTTTAGAGGGTTAATTGCATGGTTGGTCACCGAGATTATAAAAACGTTCATGTTTGGTCACTGGAAATATTTAAATCCAATCTTGATCACTTAAATTAGTTAAATGGTTCAAGTTTGGTCACTCTCCGTCCAACTCCGTTAAATTTGTCTGATGTGGCAGTCAACCCTCAAAATTGACTGTTAACTCAGTGACATGGCAATTAAAAAATAATAAATAAAATAAATTTTAATCTTCTACCATTTCCAACTCATTTTCACAATAAAGTAAAAATAAATAAATAAATAAAATAATACAAGACAATTAATTAGTAGCCTACTAGCCTTCCCAACCATATTCACCAATCACTACGGCTGCCAGTTCTTTGGATCCAGCAACCAGCAATCATCTTCAATTCTGGACCACTGACGTCGGAGCTGGGCAAGTTAAAGAGCTTGAAATCCATGGATTTGTCCAACAACATGCTCCAAGGAGAGATTCCACCTGCTTTCGCTGAACTCAAGAACTTGACTCTCCTCAATCTCTTCAGAAACAAGCTCCATGGCGCCATTTCGAAGTTCATCGGCGAGATGCCGCAGCTTGAGGTGTTGCAGCTCTGAGAGAATAACTTCACCGAAAACATTCCTCAAGGTTTGGGTAGTAACGACAGGCTCTCGATTCTGGATCTTTCTTCCAACAAGTTCACTGGAATGCTGCCTCCCGATCTCTGTACTGGTAATCGCTTATAGACTCTGATTACTCTCAGCAACTTCCTCTTCGGGCCGATCCCGGAATCGCTGAGTCAAATTCGAATGTTGAAAATTTCTTGAACGGATCCATACCAAGCGGTCTCTTAGGATTATCGGAGCTTACCCATGAATCTTGGCCAAATCAGTCTCTCCAATGAGCTCTATGGGCCATTGCCTCCGACTATCGGCAACTTCTCTGGTGTTCAGAAGTTGCTTCTCGACGGGAATCAATTCACGGGTTCAATCCCTTCATATATCAGAAAGCTACAGCAGCTTTCGAAGATGGATTTCAGCCACAACAAGTTATCAGGGCCAATCACACCTGAGATCAGTCAATGCAAGCTGCTGATGTTCGGGGATCTGAGTCGAAACCAACTCTCCGGTGAAATTCCGAATGAGATTACAGCGATGAGGATCTTGAACTACCTGAATGTATCGAGAAACAATCTCATCGGTAGCATTCCTCCACCCATTTCCACTATGCAGAGCTTAACATCTGTTGATTTCTCTTACAACAATCTCTCTGGTTTAGTCCCTGGTACTGGCCAGTTTAGCTACTTTAACTACACTTCCTTTCTGGGTAACCCAGATCTCTGCGGTCCTTACCTGGGTCCTTGCAAAGATGGGGTCCTTGTAACTATAATAAATTTTTTATTTATTTATTATACTTTATTGTGAAAATGAGTTGGAAATGATGAAAAGATTAAAATTTATTTTATTTATTATTTTTTAATTGCCAGGTCACTGAGTTAACGGTCAACTTTGAGGGTTGACTGCCACATCAAACAAATTTAACGGAGTTGGACGGAGAGTGACCAAACTTGAACCATTTAACTAATTTAAGTGACCAAGATTGGATTTAAATATTTCTAGTGACCAAACATGAACGTTTTTTGTAATCTCAGTGACCAACCATGCAATTAACCCATTTTTTAGATTTTAAAGTTTTTGGATTTTATTTTTTCATTTGGCTGTTTCTTTTTTTCTCATTCCGGTTTTCATTTGTTTACAGAGAGGCAAAAGTTCGAACAGCACGCACAGTAAATATTCACTAGCTTATTACCCAGCCCGTTGGCCGGATTACTGTATGTTACCCACTTGTGGAATGGGAGAGAAAGCAAGTGAGAGTGAAGGGATTGGGATTCCACTTGATTAGGACCGACCCACTAATCCAATTCTTCCCGACCCGCCCCAACCTACAGGGTCAAAAAGAGTCAATAAGAAAATACGAACGGGGAGGATTAGTCATATATCTTGACTCTTCAGAAGTGGGTCAAACAGGATCAAGGTTGGGTGAGGGCAATTTTTAGCGCTAAGCAGAGTTCTGGGTTGAATACCTTTACTTAGGCCTAGAAATTGGTGCTGATGCAGACTGCAGTTTTTATTATACCATCATCAATCATCATTGAATTAGTCCTGGGCATCCCTCCCCGTTGTCGGTCTGAATTCTAATGATGGCTTCATTCCTTGCACCAGCCATATCAGCGAGTTGCCATCTCGAGCATGATTTGCCTATGTACAAATAATACAATTAGAGTATGAAAATGAATTCAATGAAAAGGAAAAGAGAATTCTATCACATGCCAATAAATACACACATAATAGTTGAAGCTAAGTGAAAGTCATTACTCGCACATCAATTCTCAAAAATTACAGACTAAACATTGGCTAGAATGGCACTAAAACTACCAAGAATCATGGACGAAACAACTTGTCAAATTAAATAATCCTTATACTGAAACTACCTTCTAACTTGAAATAAGACATGATCACAGTTCATAGCTCTCTGCTCACTATGAATTGGTTGCAGCTCGTCCTTATCACTGCCTCTCAAGCTCAATTCAAACAGAATAGAGACCGTTATGTAAGATAACCATATTCTTACTGATCATAATTCCTTTCTTCACTCCATTTTTGTCGGAGAAAAAAGTTATCCCCCTCTCCGGCATTTCCCTTTCCCCCTCTCTTCTCCCTCTTCTTCACAAACCGATCCCTAAACCAACAACAACAACACAAAAATAGCCTTCGCTTCTCCCGTCTCCATCTATTGAACGCGTTGGTGGCAAGACAGGACTGCAGAAGCAAAATTTTCTAAAATCAAACTAAATTTTTTGAAGCAGACTCAACCACGAAAAAAGAGTAAAGCAACAATGCAGTAGAACCCTAAATTTAACTATAATCAAGCACATATCAGCAAGATTTTCGATTTGTCTGAGAGTTAACTACACGGAGAGAACAATTGATGCATAATTGAAATGCTCCAAGCAAGTTGAAGGCAAACCATAACTTTAGAATTTGGTCATTATAATAACCTTCAAGTATTGATGCTTCTAAGAACTATCATGTCCAACCTCCACTTATACAACTACGTAGCCATAGTAATTAGTTGTATAATGAGAAATATTACAAAGAAAACTACATAAACAACCAATGTAAGTAAATATTAAAACTAACAATTGATAAAACTTAAAATCTCTCTATTGGTATAAATGTATATATTAGTAACTACTATGCAATCGAGTATATATGATTTTTAGGCACTGAATAAGAAAAGTATAGATGGCTCACAAATGAAGACGTAGCAACTGAAGGTAGCACACAAAAACCAAAAATAGAAAAAGAGATAAGAAAAAAGGCGAGAAAAAGTCAAACAAAGAAAAAGCCCACATAGGAATACCTCGCTAGTTTTAGGGACTCTCTGCCACAACAAACAACCTTCTTAAAAATCTAACACCCTGAGACATCAAACAAACCTCCCACGACACTAATGTATGACATTCCTATTGTCCAATAGGTTTGCCCAATTTAGACTTCTAAATAAATGGACTTTTCACCATTAAACCAAAACTCACAATCATTAACAGTTAATGCAAAGACATACATTTCTGAGGTCAATCACAGCATTTAAGCATAATTTTTAGTTGAAAAGAACAACTAAGTATTTAGCTAAATGATATAGTAGAATGGACACAATCTGCTACATACTAATGATATAAACGTGTACCGGTACCATCGTTGTATCCTGACTTGCCATTTGCAACAGGCACTTTGAAAGACAGCTGCATTTTAGAGAATAAACACCCATAAGGGCGTTACGAAACCAAGCTTAATCCAAAATCTTCATATTCCACTTCGAAGACTCCATTTTCAAAAATAAGAGAGTTTAACATGTCAAATCACTCATTTGAAAAATCTCAAACAACTATTAATCAATGCAATATAATGGCACGTTCCAAATTATGTACTTGTAGGAATAATCCCAAATAATTATCAATTAATGCCCCAACTACCTAATGTGCAGAATAGCCCTGGAGCTGTGCTGTTGTTTGCGTTGGTCTACCTTCAAACATAACATAGTTGCATCACGAACCAAAGCAATTAAGCAAAAATCTTCATATTCCAAGTAGAATGACTCAATTCAATTTGGCCAACGCTTTATACATATTGTTTACCCCTGGACCTGTTGCACTTGCGCCTTCAGATCTTCGTGAACACAATACAATTGCGGAGAGGAGGCTGTCAACGGAATAAAAATTGTTAATTAAGTGAATCACCATACAACTAAACAAACACGCTCTTCTTGATTAGCTATCAAAATAGTGGGGGTCGCTACAATCCATCGGTTGCTCCCTCTGCGCCTAAGTTGTAGATATTAGGTTTCAGTGAGAACTTTGAGTACATGAGGAGATATTTTGTAGTGGAGGAGATGACCCGGCGAGTAGAATAGGAAGATTTGGAGAGGCTGCGATGGGCAAAGCAGTTAAAATCGAGATTTTACCTAAAATCGAAAACTGGGGTAAAATCAAAACCGTATAATCGAATCGTAAAATCGTAGGATTTTAAGTACCATATAGAACATAGCATATAAGCATGTTAATAAGGTAAATTATTAATATCACAAAGACACATAGCATTTAAAATGATAATTCAGAAGATTTTTTTTCATAAGATAATTCTCAAGATTAATGTTCCAAAATCACTATTTTAATTGTTATTTAATGTGTAACTCAAAATAATTCATGATGAAGGGATATAGTTCATGGGTTTGGCTCTTATTTTCATGTTATGTCTAGGTTGTTTAACTCAAAGTAATATTTCGACATCGTCTACTAAATATGATTTAAAACTAAAAATAATTGAACTCCATTAAAATAAGTAATGTTAGTGGCTTGGTACAAATATATTCATTAATAAATTAGTTAGTTAATAATGATGTTAGTTCTTACATACTTCCAATATTATGACAAGTGTTTTACCAATAAGTTAAATGGGGTGAAGGGAAAGAGATTAACTGAACCCTAATTTGGTTATTTTTATTATTTTTGAATATTTTTCTAATAAAAAAATATCTGAGAAGATTCCATTGCCCTTTCCGCTGAAACAGTTATACTTATTTTAAATTGGCTAAAACCACCTATTTTGTTCTCTTACGATCAAAATCCCAATTTCAGTACTATTTTACGATTTTAACGATTTTAGTCCCGATTTTAAACGATTTTAAAATCATTTTAAAATGAAGATCGGAATCCCTAAGTAAAATCCTAAAATCCTACGATTTTACGATCAAAATCCCGAATTTGACTGCATTGGCGATGGGTGCACGATTAATGGGCCAAATAACAGTTTGGGCCCGTTTAAATGAAAACATATTTTTACTTTCGTGCTCAACAGACCGACCGCACTGGCATCTTCTAAATTTACCCCTAAAAAATTGCTCTGTACGCATCAAATTTGAAATGGAATCCCTCTTTTCTCATTTCACATTTATATGATGTGTAGATTGTGATGAGTGTAGATGTAGACCTGTCATTGTCCTACAAATTCATTAACACGCCAAAAAGTGGTGAAATGAGCCACCCTATTAAACACAATCTTGTATAATGATCATTGGATCCAATCATGCCAGATTATGAAGAAGTTTAAAATGTAGCGGTTATCCCGACTAAAACATTAAAAGAACCAGTCTCATATAGTTTGCACAAAGATATAATTTCTCCATAGTAATTCTGAAAAATAATATTAATTTAAGAAGTCGATATTGCTTCTACATGTTTAATATTGCAATTCGATATGCAATATTCGAACCAGTGATATTTGGGCTGCAATTTTAGGGTTATTGTATATTTATAAAATAGATAGAAATTTAAATTAAGTATTAAACTACAACTAAAATAATCAAAGTATTAAAACACCAAATAAGTACTTACGGGAGATTCAGTGGCCAACTAATCGTTAAAAAAGTCATATGATTTTCATAATTTAGGTTCATGTATGTTTGAATTTAAATAGATACAATAAATATACTTGGAGTGATTGGTTATGATCCTTGCTTGCCTTAAAAGAGACCAAGGTTCAATTCCCAGTGCATGCTTTTTTTATGATAAATAAATAAGAAAATAAGCAATTGTGAAGACCAAAATGTCCTTCCTATAATCACTCTCGTTGCAGGAATTTTGAAATGGAGAAACCGTTTTCATCATTTGGCTTTTATTTATTATCTAGATCTGGTTCTTCTCTCACCCGTCCGTCTCATTTTAAGTGGAGAACTAGCTTATTACCCGGCCCGTTGGCCGGATTACTGCATGTTACCCACTTGTGGAATGGGAGAGAAAGCAAGTGAGAGTGAAGGTATTGGGATTCCACTTGATTAGGACCGACCCACTAATTCGATTCTTCCC